ATAGCGTTGCCAGTGAGTGTTCTGGGGGCTGCCTGAACCAGGGTCTGTGTGGATACGGCGGTGTTTGTCACTGTGCTCGTGGCTGGCACGGTCGTCGCTGCGAGATAGCAGTGTGTGTCCGTGGCTGTAGCAATGGTGGGGTGTGCGTGGCACCTGATACCTGCCGCTGCCCGCCTGGTTACTCCGGCGCTTTCTGTCAGGATGGTAAGTACTAGTGCTGGATAGCTATTCCCACTTCCCCCCTACCCCTTGAGGGTCATAACCTACGAGTTGTAGTTCCTAGTCTCATGCTGGTTGTCACACGAGGGGAATCAGGAACTAGAGCCCACTCTTCGTAAAGCATTGTAGGATGGGTTGTCACACACACACACACACACACACACACACACACACACACACACACACACACTTGCTCGCCTGCACACACGTGTATGAGTGAGAGATGAATGATAATATTAAATATAGATAAACGTATTGAAAATGGGTGAAAGTAAAATCATGCCATATGAAGAATAATTTTTTTCAATTAGTGAGGAGGATCTAATAGTGATTATTAATAAAATACTGTCATTTTTACATATAAATGAAACAGAGGCAGACGCATGCTTCACTGTCGAAGGATGGTGACTTCTGCCCTGTGTTGGTGGGGATCTTCAACAATGTCTAGGTTTTCTTTTGCCAACACCCTCTTCAAGGGGGGGCTCCTTGGAGTGGTGAAGAGGCTCTTGGTCTGAGGAATTAGACCTGTTGGTCTCCTTCCTCAGACCGAACCTAATAACCCTCCAATCCCCCCTTCACTATCCCATCCTCCCTTTTCCCTTTCCTCCTCCTACCCCCCCCCCAATCCCTCCCTTATTCTCTTCCTCTTTTTGGCCTTTGGGATTCTTCCCACAGGCCTATTGGTTCCTAGGTAGGGGGAAGGGTACCTGGGTCAATCCCATTCCATTGAGGTTCTTGGCAGTGGTGTAGTTTGCTGTGGAATCTGGATCGCCTGGGGATGTCCCGTTCCCTCTTCCGTCTCCCGGGGGGGTGGCATTGGGTGCCTTTCGGACGATGGAGGCCGCCTTTCGGATTCCGGGGGTGGTGGCCAAAGGAGGTATGCTTTGTGGTGGATATCCGGCCACCCTCTTTTGTCCACCGAGGTAGCTCGGCAGATGAAGTTGCTATCCTGGATTGCTGGTTTACTGGCATGAAGAATAGGGTATGGCACGGGTTCCATGCCACATCTGCACTACTTGCTGTGTTGAGGTCCTCTTGGGCGCGGAGGGCGATTTCCGGCCCTTTCATTCCTCCTAGGAACTATTCCTCCCCGTTCCTCCCTTTTTTTTCTTTTTTCTTTTTTATTTATTTTTTCTTAAAGAAAAAAAGTAACCTAACCATAGAAGCCCTAGTCCATGAACCTGCTACCCGTGGGTCCCTCCTTGATACTACACCCCATTCTGACCCTGCCTCGTTTTTTGACCACTCATATAGAGGTGTTCCATTTACGGACTATTTTGCTGTAATAGCTACCCACTTTCACACCCGTTGGCAACAACATTGGTCTAATCTGCTCGGTAACATACTTCAGTCTATTAATTAAGCCGAGTATAGGTTACTGGCCGTCTTCTTATCATCAGTGTCGAGGTTGGGAGACTACTCTATCCCGCCTTCGCATTGGCCACACTCGTCTTACTCATGGGTATCTCATGGAGAGGCACCCTGTTCCTCTCTGAGACATGTCAAATTCCAGTATCGGTTAAGCACATTCTGTTAGACTGCCCCCACTATCAACGAGCACGCAGAATTTACCTCCAACGTCGTCTCCGATCTACTACTACTCTCTCTACCTTCCCTTCTTGCTGATGGACCCTCCTTTAATCCTGACTCTCATTGACTTCTTGACAACGACTGATTTACTCCACAAACTCTGATGATACTTTTCGCACTCCCCTCACCCCTTTCTACCTCAATCTCTTGCTACCCTCTACCCTTTCATTATCCACTGCTCCGCTGTTCTCCGTAACTTACTAATCATCCCTCTCCCCTTTTACTACCTGATACCCTCGCTTCCTTCCTGCCCTGCAGCGCTGTATAGCTCTTGTGGTTTAGCGCTTCTTTTTGATTATAATAATTTTGCCAACACCACCTTTGGTATTTTACCATTGTCCATTCTTGTCATAAAACAACATAGTCATTGAACTGTGTGCCTATGTATTGTAACAGATTTTCCCATTGTCGTTGAGGGCTGCCTGGGCGCTCGGCCTTGTCCTCCCGAACCCGGCCTGTCCTGTTCTGCTAGCGTTTGTAGATGAATGGTCATGCAACGCATTTGCTGCGGGTCTAGCCTCTGCTCTTTCCCAAGTTTCAGTCGTTTATTCTCTCCCCTCCCAATATTCATCAACTATCCCCACTTCTCCCTCCCTCTTTTTTTTGGATTCATACCCATGAGTCATTCTAGTTTAGTCTGAGTGGTGAAACGTAAAGGAATATGTAGCGGTTGTGGGAGTTAGAAGCGAGTGGCGGCAAATGGTTTTGATGACCTACGTGCTATTGAAGTGTGAGCAAAGTAACATATAAGAAGGGATTAAGGGAAACTGGTTAGCCAGAGTCCGGGAGGTGGGAAGTAGTGTCTGCACTCTGAAGGAGGGATGGGGATATGTTGAAGTTTAGCTGTAGTGTAGACACGCCTCTGGAAATAGTGATAAAATTACCTGGAGAGAGTTTCGGGGGTCAACGCCCCCGCGGCCCGGTCTGTGACCAGGCCTCATGAGTGATAAAAATGTTTCTTTTCTCGGGTCACTCTGTCTCGGTGGGAAATTGTTGTGTTAAAAAAGTTTGGAAAGTCCAAAGAAAGTTAAAAAATAATGATGCAAGACTGAAAACATTCAAGATGCCCACCTTGAGTGATAGAGGGAAGAGATTAGGCATGATCGCCTATAAGGTCATAAAAAGGTATGAAAGAACATTTATAAAAGACTTATTACATGCTAGAGAGATAACAAATAGGCGGGTCATCATCTAATTAGGACTCGCGTCAGGAAACACTTGTCTGGTTTCTTGACGAACCTTACATAGCCTAAACCAATAGGCTGCAGCTGTAATTTGAAGGGAAAAAGTTAATTGGAAAGGATAATAGTACATATCGTTAATGCAGTTGGCAGCCAGTGGAAAGCATTGAAAGAGAAACTAATAAGTGCAACTACCATTGGTAATATACAAAAGAAATATATATGATGAGCAGAGTATTGAAGACGGAACACAAGGAAAATAACTCTGAGAATTCAAAGAGGAATTAAAAATAGGTAATTACACACACACGCACTCACACAGGAAGTGGAAGTGGTCAGGAAGTGGAACTGGCGAGTGATGTAGTGGAGGCAGAAACCATACATAGCTTTAAGACGAGGTATGATAAAGCTCATGGAGCAGGGAGTGAGAGAACCTAGTAGCGTTCAGTGAAGACGCGGGGCCAGGAGCTGGGTATCGATCCCTGCAACCACAATTAGGAGAGTACAATTAGGGGAGTAGGTAGTAGGTTGGTAGACAGCAACCACCCAGGGAGGTACTACCGTCCTTCCAAGTGAGTGTGAAACGAAACCCTGTAATTGTTTTACATGATGGTAGGATTGCTGGTGTCTTTTGTCTGTCTCATAAACATGCAAGATTACAGGTACGTCTTGCTACTTATACTTAAACTTAGGTCACACTACACATACATGTACATGTTTATTTATACACACTCATCTGAGTTTTTATCTTAATAGTTCTTGTTCTTATTACTTTTCCTTTTATATCCATGGGGAACTGAATAAGAATCTTTCCTCCGTAAGCCATGCGTGTTGTAAAAGTCAACTAAAATGCCGGGAACAATGGGCTAGTAACCTCTTTTCCTGTAATAATTACTAAAAAGAATAAGAAAATTGTCAATGTGGGAAGTCTGTGCGTGGATGTTATGAATGAGATGAAGCTGGATGTCCTGGCTTTAAGTGAAACAAAGCTGAAGGGGGTGGGAGAGTTTCAGTGGAGAGGAATAAATGGGATTAGGTCAGGGGTTTCTAATAGAGTTAGAGCTAAAAAAGGAGTAGCAATAATGTTGAAGGATAAGTTATGGCAGGAAAAGAGGGACTATAAGTGTATTAATTCAAGGATTATGTGGAGTAAAATAAAGGTTGGATGTGAAAAGTGTGTTATAGTAAGCGTATATGCACCTGGAGAAGAGAGAAGTGTAGAGAGAGAGATTTTGGGAAATGTTGAGTAAATACGTGGGGAGTTTTGAACCAAGTGTGAGAGTAATGGTGTTTGGGGATTTCAATGTTAAGTGGGCAAAAATGTTGCGGAGGGAGTAGTAGGTAAATTTGGGGTGCCAGGGGTAAATGAAAATGGGGAGCCTTTAATTGAGCTATATGTAGAAAGAGGTTTGGTAATACGTATTTTATGAAGAAAAGGATGAATAAATATACAAGGTATGATATAGCACGTAATGAAAGTAGTTTGTTAAATTATGTATTGGTGGATAAAAGGTTGATGGGTAGGCTCCAGGATGTACACGTTTATAGAGGGGCAACTGATATATCGGATCATTATTTAGTTGTAGCTACAGTTAGAGTAAGAGGTAGATGGGAAAAGAGGAAAATGGCAACAAGTAAGAGGGAGGTAAAATTGTATAAACTAAGGGGGGAGGAAGTAGTTTGGGTGAGATATGAGCAACTGTTGGCAGAAAGGTGGATTGGTGCAAGTATGAGTAGTGGGGGAGGGGGGGGGTTGAAGAGGGTTGGAATAGTTTTAAAAATGCAGTATTAGAATGTGGGGCAGAAGTTTGTGGTTATAGGAGGGTGGGGGCAGGAGGAAAGAGGAGTGATTGGTGGAATGATGAAGTAAAGGGTGTGATAAAAGAGAAAAAGTTAGCTTATGAGAGGTTTTTACAAAGCAGAAGTGTTATAAGAAGAGTAGAGGATATGGAGAGTAAAAGAAAGGTAAAGAGAGTGGTGAGATAGTGCACATGAAGAGCAGATAGTGGGAGAGGCACTGTCAAGAAATTTTAATGAAAATAAGAAATTTTTTTGGAGTGAGCTAAACAAGTTAAGAAAGCCTAGACAACGAATGGATTTGTCAGTTAAAAACAGAGTAGGGGAGTTAGTAGATGGGGAGATGGAGGTTTTGGGTAGATGGCGAGGATATTTTGAGGAACTTTTAAATGTCGACGAAGAAAGGGAAGCGGTAATTTCATTCACTGGCCAGGGAGGTATTACCATCTTTTAGGAGTGAAGAACAGGATGTGAGTGTGGGGAAAGTGTGTGAGGCATTACGTAGAATGAAAGGGGGTAAAGCAGCTGGAACTGACGGGATCATGACAAATGTTAAAAGCAGGGAGGGATAGTGTTGGAGTGGTTGGTATTTTTTGTTGAATAAATGTATGAAAGAGGGGGAAGGTACCTAGGGATTGGCAGAGAGCATGTATAGTCCCTTTATATAAAGGGAAGGGGGACAAAAGAGATTGTAAAAATTATAGAGGAATAAGTTTACTGAGTATACCAGAAAAAGTGTACGGTAGGGTTATAATTGAAAGAATTAGAGGCAAGACAGAATGTAGGATTGCGGATGAGCAAGGAGGTTTCAGAGTGGGTAGGGGATATGTAGATCAAGTGTTTACATTGAGGCATATATGTGAGCAGTATTTAGATAAAGGTAGGGAAGTTTTTATTGCATTTATAGATTTAGAAAAGGCATATGATAGAGTGGATAGGGGAGCAATGTGGCAGATGTTGCAAGTATATGGAATAGGTGGTAAGTTACTAAATGCTGTAAAGAGTTTTTATGAGGATAGAGAGGCTCAGGTTAGGGTGTGTAGAAGAGAGGGAGAATACTTCTCGGTAAAAGTAGGTCTTAGACAGGGATGTGTAATGTCACCATGGTTGTTTAATATATTTATAAATGGAGTTGTAAAAGAAGTAAATGCTAGGGTGTTCGGGAGAGGGGTGGGATTAAGTTATGGGGAATCAAATACAAAATGGGAATTGACAGTTACTTTTTGGTGATGATACTGTGCTTATGGGAGATTCTAAAGAAAAACTGTAAATGTTAGTAGATGAGTTTGGGAGTGTGTGTAAAGGTAGAAAGTTGAAAGTGAACATAGAAAAGAGTAAGGTGATGAGGGTATCAAATTATTTAGATAAAGAAAAATTGGATATCAAATTGGGGAGGAGTATGGAAGAAGTGAATGTTTTCAGATATTTGGGAGTTGACGTGTCAGCGGATGGATTTATGAAGGATGAGGTTTATCATAGAATTGATGAGGGGAAAAAAGGTGAGTGGTGCATTAAGGTATATGTGTGGAGACGTAAAACATTATGGAGGCAAAGAAGGGAATGTATGAAAGTATAGTAGTACCAACACTCTTACATGGGTGTGAAGCTTGGGTTGTGAAGGCAGCAGCGAGGAGGCGGTTGGAGGCAGTGGAGATGTCCTGTCTAAGGGCAATGTGTGGTGTAAATATTATGCAGAAAATTCGGAGTGTGAAAATTAGGGGAAGGTGTGGAGTTAAAAGTATTAGCCAGAGGGCTGAAGAGGGGTTGTTGATGTGGTTTGGTTATTTACAGAGAATGGATCAAAGTAGAATGACATGGAGAGCATTTAAATCTGTAGGGTAAGGAAGGCGGGATAGGGGTCATCCTCGAAAAGGTTGGAAAGAAGGGGTAAAGGAGGTGTTGTTGGCGAGGGGCTTGGACTTCCAGCAAGCGTGCGCGAGCGTGTTCGATAGGAGTGAATGGAGACGAATGGTATTTGGGACCTGACGATCTGTTGGAGTGTGAGCAGGGTAATATTTAGTGAAGGGATTCAGGGAAACCGGTTATTTTTATATAGCCGTACTTGAGTCCTGGAAATGGGAAGTACAATGCCTGCACTCTAAAGGAGGGGTTCGGGATATTAGCAGTTTGGAGGGATATGTTGTGCCTCTTTATACGTATATACTTCTAAACTGTTGTGTTCTGAGCACCTCTGCAAAAAGTGATTGTGTGAGTGAGGAGAAAGTGTTGAATGATGATGAAAGTGTTTTCTTTTTGGGTCACGTTGCCTCGGTGGGAGACGGCCGACTTGTTAAAAAAAATATATATGTATATATATACACGGACAGTTGTGAATTGCCCCCTGCAACCACAAATAGGTGAGCGCACACACACACACACACACACACACACACACACACACACACACACACACACACACACACACACACACACACACACACACACACACACACACACACACGAAACAAGATCCTGCAGCAAAAGCAACGGCTGAAGAAAACAAAATACCAGCGAATGTACCTAAGCTGTGACATAACGAGAACAGAATGACAAAAACTGAGACAGGTTATGAAATTGGAGGGGACACCGAGGAACAGTAGCAAGCCCAACCGCCCACAGTACCCAGCAACCAAACATGTTAACCCAAAACAATCCACCCGGGGTAACAGATTTAGCGATACAGACCACTGAAGATGAGCGGATCCTTACCAAAGTTGTTACACTTACTGTGAAGTATTACGAGATAATCATATTTTTTTGGGAAGGGTGGGTGATTTTGTTTGTGTAAATATCTAAAATTAATCTCGCAAAATTATATCACTTTTCCACCTTCTGCTCACTTAGAAAGCAATTGTGTTGTGGAAGACGCCACATAAAGCCAATGGAAAATAGTTTTCAGTATTTTCTTGCATGTGGAGTACATCCAAGAGCTGGTTGGGATGCTTATAATTCGAGTAATTTGCGTGCCTCTGGGAGGCTCTGACTAGGATCTGTGGGGGTTTGAGCAAGTTAACGAAGCCGGTAATTTGTTATTTTAAGTCAGTTAATTAAGGTTCTTCCCCCTCACACGTATGCTCCTCTCCTAGCGGTGTGCAGTCCACCTTGTGGCAACGGTGGGACTTGTGTCATCCCTGGCATGTGTGTGTGTCCTCCAGGCTATGTACCTCCCACCTGTACCCGTAAGTTTACTCATGTTTTCTTTAATTATTTTTATTTTCATGTAGTTATTATTCATTAGTTATATATTGCAGTTTTTAGTTTGCATTATTCTTTGCTTTATCCTTCCTTTATATATCATAATTCATATTTTTTGTCAACTTTTTTTTTTAACTTTGGGCTTTGAGACAAGAGCCAGTGAACTCTCAGGTCGTTGATATTCCCTAGTCGATCTCTGTATATATTATTTACCTATTCTTCAATTTACATTTATTCCAGAAATTTCTTGAAATTGCTCATCCACTATCATCATTATCTCCAATATCCCCATGATTAAACCACAATTATTTGCCCAACATCACCGCACCCATCTTCTCTTTCGCCGTCACCACCACCACTGATAGCTACTGGGAACGGTTGTAAGTTCCTTGACCTGTACTCCCTGGAACGTAGGCGGGAAAGATACGTGATAATATACACCTGAAAAATCTTACAGGGATTAGTACTAAAACTGCACACGGAAATCACTCTATGAAGGCAAAAGTCTCGGCAGGCAGTACAACATTCCCCCAATGAAAAGCAGGGGCGCCATGAACACGCTAAGAGATAACACAGTAAGTGTCAGGGGCCCAAGACTGTTCAAATGCCTCCCAGCAAACATAAAGGGGATTACTAATAGACCCCTAGCTGTCTTCAAGAAAGCGCTGGACAGGCACATAAAGTCAGCATCTGGCCAGCCGGACTGTAGTTCGTACGTCAGTCTACATGCGGCCAGCAGTAACATCCTGATTGATCAGGCCTTGATCTACCGCGAAGCCAGGTAATAGAAATGGCCGCGGGGGCGTTGATCCCTGAAACCCCTCTCCAGGTATACTCTAGGTATATTCATATTGAGTTTGATAGCTTTGTCAGTCCTACGTATGTAGCATTCAAACGGTCCATACTTAGTTCCCAGGAATTAAGGAATTACAATGCGGAAACTCGTTTAATGATTCCTGTTTCCAAAGCTTTACAAAGGATTTTTTAAATGTTTGTGGACATCGATATGTAAAAAATGACACCTTTTGTAATGCTAGCTTTTTTTTTCTGGAGAAAATAGAATAACCAAAGTAAGGCTTGATGGTGCTTATGGCAGGGTAGCCGAGTCGGTGCCAGCCTACTACGAGGGTGGACGAGTCTCGGGAATTCGATGAATTAATCTCCAGAATTATTTAGCGCCTAGTAAGTGCAAAGGAAACTCCCAACAACTTTAGATTAGTAAAAGCAGTGGGAATAACTTCTGAGATTTTGTAGCAGGAAACCACATTGCTTTTGCAACAGATTTGATATCTTAGCTAAGATACACCATGTCAACCAGATCAGTAAAACAGGAACCCGAATAGATCTCCAAGTAGTCTTGGATAAATATTTAAATTTCATGGCATCAAGATAAAGAAATTCGTCATAGCAGCAAGTAAAAGAAGTAGATGTAATGTCTTCTAGGTGGGACGATCATGGATACATGTGATAAATTTGTAGACATGACTAAAATCACGTCAAAGAATACAATTTTCATGACTCGTATTGGAACTAATGATTTAAAGCAGAGTATATCAGAGATTCTTAACAGATACAAGGGCCTTAATAAGAAATTCAAAGATAACAGAAGGATATTGGCAATTACCGGATTACTCTGGTGGATTGATGTCATGGACGATGCTACAGAGGTCGGCGAACATTTTTTGCTGGGTATTACCCTGAAACAAATTTGTGTACAGGAAATAACTCGCTAAACTTGAAAGTCCACAGGATCCTGAAACCCAAGGAGCATTCAAATTCAAGAGAATTTATTGAATCATTTGTATGGAGAATACAGTCATACAAGCGGGAAAGAATGTATTATATTCGAAAAAGCAACTTTAAAAATAAAAGGCAAAATTAAAAAAAAAATGAAAATAAACTGCATGAAATAAAAAAGTAACCGACAAATTTAATAAAAATCTCACTAGGGAAGTAAAGAATTTCATTGAAAATATTTTCACTTCAGGTTTTGGAGAAACCGGAAGAAACTAAAAATTTTTTGCCTGAAAACAAATTATAGCTTTCATAATTTGCATAGCTTATTAAATAATTTTTTGTGCCGTTATATTATATGTTTAGTGAGCCTTCATTAATGAAAAAAAAAGGCACAATACCGTGACTGGAACGATACACAAATAACCCGCACATAAAAGAGAGAAGCTTACGACGACGTTTTCGGTCCGACTTGGACCATTGTCAATGGTCCAAGTCGGACCGAAACGTCGTCGTAAGCTTCTCTTTTATGTGCGGGTTATTTGCGTATGGAGCCTTCGTTACTCCAGAAATTCTCATTTTTACCCCATTTGGGGTAATTTACCCCGTTTACCCGACCTAAACTCAAGTATATGTAGAACTATGGGGTCAATGTGTAAAATAAGGACGAATCTTGCAGGAGAGGCTGCATGCGGCGTAGAGTGAGAGATTAATGAGAACTCGAGCAGGAATTGACGGGGGAGAAGGGAGTAATTAGCTGCCACAATGAATCGGGTAATGAGTTGGACAAGGAATTTAACTAAAATTTAATTACCCCACCTGCGGGGGACCAGCTAGGCGAATTCAAGGTTTTTTACACAAGTGCTAGAAGAATGTTACACAAAGAGGAATGAACTGTCTGCATACGCATTATCAGAGCAATCACATGTTATTGTTTGAAGTGAAATATTTAGACTCAATCATAAAATGAGAGATCCTTGACTGGATACAGTATTTTTAAAATGGTTCGCATTCGCAATGGAGAGAAAAAAAAAAGACGGTATATTGAATCAAAGTAAATAATGAGCCACATCTAACAAATTCATAAGCATGGTGTAGTAGGATTTGATTCTGAATAAATACATATCAAAGCTATTGGAAACAAGACAATGATTCGCATAGTATATCGTCCCCCTCAAACACAGTCAGGAAGATGACGCTCTTATGTATGACGAAATAAACATAAATTGTAGGGGACTTCAATTAGCCAGATATAAACTGGAGCACTCATTCAGGGCACTCGGAGGCCGCCAGACTCATCACGGTTGATGACAACTTTCTAATTCACACTGTTACTTTGACTACTAGACAACCAAAATCTTGATGCTTTGACCACAGAGTAAGATAGTGAATGGCACTGATAGTCATTCACAATAAACTATTTTAAGTACTGAACGAGTAAATAATTCAAAAAACATAATGAAATTACAAAGCAAAATATTCTACGCCAACTTATGCAAAAGTTTTTCTGTAAACAAAATTATGGCAGGATGGAATAAGCGCAAAAATTGTGCAAAAGTGCGAAGACGGTAAAGTCTTCCGTGAACCAGCTGGACAAGCACCTAGCAAGTATGACATTCAGCTAATCATTACGCTGGGGCAAGCTGAAGTCAACAGACTCCTGATTTTTGAGCAGCAACTGCATTAGGACAAGTTAATTTAGTTATAACAGAAGTAAACCCAGTAGTACACACAGCGATGTGCTGTCGAGTAATTCGAGTAGATGCAAAAAGTACTACTTATGTAGTGGTATTTGTAGCGCAAGCTTTCCATCTACCTGCACCTCGCCTATAAATACTATAACGTTTATTCAATATGATATGACATATTTTTTCCCCTGTTTTCATGCTGGCAGTGGCCAGACGGAGTGTAAGCTGGGACGAGAACTTACTGCTTTTATATTCTAGGTAGAAGCAGTTTTTGTATACAGAGCGCCTCTATGTATTCCTTCAAGTTCTCTGCTCTCTCTCCTTTTCCTTGTACGATCAAGTACTAGCATCACCACTAACACCACTAAAATCACCACTACCACCACCACATCATCAAACACTACAATTACTACCACCCACTATCCACCACCACAAACTTCACCCACAACTGTTACTACTACTACTTGTACAGCATTCACCACCACCTACAACGAAACATTACCCACTCGCATAAACTAGCAAACCATTATAATCACACTGTCATCATCAATGCTACTGGCACCCACCATACATATACACCAAAACACTACTATACACCCATAACCATCACTACTACCACCATAACCACTCACTACTACCACCATAACCACTCACTACTACTACTACCACAACCACTCACTACTACTACTACCACCGCCATTACCCACCACCACACAACAGTGAAGAAAAAAACACATTGCCGAACGTGCTTTTAGCGTGATAACATCTCACTTGGTTCAGAACTTAGCGAAGCTGTACACAGTGAAGCGTTGTCCCAGTAATAACATGTTCATTATTATTTGTCTGTTCTTCACAATTTTCAACAGTGTTGCATTTTTGGTAAATATTTTCTTTGCTTTCGGATGCTAGTTTAGTGATAATTTATGGTTATAAATATGAGGTCTAAAATTGGTGTTTGCTAGTAAGATCGTATTCTCTAGAGCACATGTGAAACCCTAACCGAACTTCATGTAACCTAATGTAGCCTGAGTAACGAAATAATTTAATAAGTCCGTCTATTTTATTTCACCAGTAAGGAGAAAGACTTGCATCCTCCAGACTTTCCAAAGTTAGGAGTTTTAGCTGTTTAACAAACGTCGTAAAGCCATTTAACCTAACATAAAAAAAACTTTATGCAATCTAATGCATTATTATTATACAGTGAATAACGTTGAATCACAAAGTGTGGTAACAAAATAATTTCAATAGTCTCGCAAGAAGGAAATATTACTCTGGTTAGCTGATCTTTGGAAGTGATCGCGGGAATGTTTGAGTAGCGACCGGCCCGGCCCGGCCCGGCCCGGCTCTTCATGGGTGAGTCACAGCTAACATGAAGGTATTATTAGGATTAAAAAAAGTCTCAGAAAATAAGAATTTGCACAATAATTAAAAATAATTGTAAAAGTGTGGAGAACTTGCTGGAGTTTAAATGTCAAATGGCCGAGCTCAGACCCGACTATAAAGAAAAATAATAACCCTTTATTTGCATCAACTACTACTGTTATCACCTACCATGACCACCACTATCACTTATCACCAATATTATCATTATCAACACAATCACCACTATGATTCACAGACGCCACCTCCCCACCAGTGCCACCACAAGCCACTCGTCGCCACGCACCCACCAACCACTACCATCATCACCCACCACCATCATCATCACCAACATTACCTACCACTTATCCTGGCCAGTGTAAACCATGTATGAGTAGCCTGCCTGGCTCGTGTAATATTACTCTCATAACTCGCCCCGACGCACCGTCTTTTTCAGCTACTCTTCTATTATAACCTGTCTTAATTAATCTTTACCTTAGGTTCCCCGGAGCCTTCACCGGTGCAAAATTCTTTTGCTGCATTTATAAATTTGATAACTTTCATATTCCATTCCTTGCAAAAATGTATTTATTTTACTGATCGTAACCCTACAAGAGAGTTCCTTGATGCTACTGAAGGACTCTGTATCCAATTAGTTGTATTTCCTTAGTTCGAGGATTCCTTGATGCTGGTAAAGGGGTTCTGTACCCAAGGACTTGCAGTTATCCTGTCTTTTACTGGATAAAACCTTATTGCTAATTTACAGGATTTGTGCATTCCCCTGAATGTAATAGCGACTATCATAACATAAAAAATTTCGTATTTGCACCTTTTATATATATATTAAAATATATATATATTATAATATATATAATATATAATATATATATATATATATATAATATATATATATATATATATATATTATACACACACACACACACACACAAGCGCAATTTAATTTACCCTAATCCAACTAAATATATTTTAGATAAGATAATTTAATAATGATCACAATGAAATATAATTTTTTTTTTTTTTAGATTCAGAATGATTTTTGAGAAATTATTTCACATACAAATTTTAGCTTGTCTTATACAGCAAGAAGAGCTTTGCTATTGAAGCCAAATTGGCAAGTTTTACCCATATATATATAAAGTGCAACATAGTCAAATTGGGATGGCCCCATCCCTGAAAAGGTGCTTGCCAACATGCTTAGTGCTGCAACATCAGACAGGGAGAATGCCCATCTCCAAGCTGTGATCGCACCTCACTCTGGGGACTTACTCCAAACAGTTCCCATATCGCCAATAGGAACATGCCTTGACCCACAGACTCTGTATTGCAGTGGCTCTCCTCGCTGTCCCAATTTTCATGGAATATACATATATTTGCGACGATGCGCAAGCCAACCATTATGGTTTGCATGAGCTTAACTGTTCCAAATCCAAGGGCTGGTATACAAGACACAATGAAGTCAACATCATCATTAAGGAAAGCCTTGCTACAGCTGGATGCCTAGCCGAGAGAGGCCCCTGATCACTAGCAACCAACAATACTCAGCACAATCCTGTATGTCGGTGCTGGCTGACACATCCATCACAGTGTCGGATGACAGGGAGGAGCTGCTGATCACAGGGAGGAGTACAAGATCGGCAAGTACAGACACAAAAGTCAACAGTATCAATTTGTCCCAGTGGGATCTGAGACCCTGGGATGATGGGAAAAAACGCCACACGTTTCCATAAAGAAATGGGTTCCAGATTCATCACCACCACCAAAGACCTGAGGGCAGGCACTTTCACGTTCCAGCGTCTCAGCCTGGCCATTCAAAGGGGAAATGCTTGCTGCATACTTGGTACACGTCCGGATTCGGAGTAGCTGGAGATTCATAATCTTTGTGTGTATTTTTTTTCATGTATTCCCTCTAAATGAAGTTCACATAGAATATAGAGGGTGGTAGGATAAGACGATTTTTGACAGTCCCGGGGAGAAGCTCGAGTTTCAGGATGAGGGCCTTCCCCCCATCCCCCCCCTCCCCCCTCTCTCCTCTCCCCTCTCCTCTCTCCTCTCCTTCCCCTCTCTCCCCCTTTCCCTCTCTCCCCTTTTCTCCCCTTCTCTCCCCTCTCTCCCCCTCTCCCTCCCCCCTTCTCCCCCCTTCCCTCCCTCTCCCTTTTCCTCTCTCCCTCCCTCTCCCCTTCCTTCCCCTCCCTTCCCCTCTTCTATTTTTCTTCCTCCTCTTCCTCTCTCCTCTCTCTCCCCCCCCCTTTTCTCTCTTTCCCCTCTCCTCTCTCTCCTCTCTCCCCCTCTCTCTCATATATATATATATATAAAATATATATAAATATGTCGTCCGAATATGTAAAACGGGCAATTACAAAAAATTTTAAAAAATTAATTCATTTCTAAAATTTTCACTTATACGTTTAAAGATATATTTTTTCTTTAAATGTTAATGAAAAAATTTAAAATTTTGCACGAAAAAATTTTAAAAAATTACCAACCTTTTTTATAACAAGAAAAATTTTATTTTAGCCTACCCAACTAAATATATCTGGATTTTTTACAAAATTTTAATACTAAACAAACACATTGGAATAAGTTTTTTTTTTTAGGTTCAGAAAGTTTTTGGGCAAATTATTGCAACACAAATTTTTTCTTGTCCTATAGGGAAGTGACGTTGCTATTTTTAAACCCAAGATCGCAATTCTGCCATTTTGGCACGATAAAAATATAATATATATATAAAATTTAAAAATAATTAATATATATATAATTATTATTATATATATATATTAAATATACACCCCTAACTTAAAAATTTTCTCTTTTTTCCTCATTTTTCCTCAAAACCAACCGATTTACTTCAAGACATTCTCTAATTTTTTTTTAAAAAATTTTCCCCAAAAAAAACTCTAGCAACATTATTCCAGTAAATATTTGTCTTACACCCCAAAACAAATCCAATGAATATACAGTTTTCACTACAATTCTTATTTCATTGTATTCCCCGGGTTTTTGAATACATTTTTTCACAAAGGTGAGGTTTTTCGAGAGTCATTTGTAGAAAAACATATGTGGAAAAGTTCATGCAGACTCACATTTGATTGGGGAGCAACAGGACGGATGTATTGGGGGACGAACGAAGCGCGAAAACGGGCACCATTTTCCACTTTTGACACATTTAAAAAAGCAAGGTTATGACAGAAGGCGGTAAACCAATCACTCGACTGTTCACAGTTCATAAAATTAAAAAGGGGCCAACCCCCACCCCAAGCCCTTTTAAATTTTTGTTTTTTGGGCCTGCTTCCCCCCTTTTACCTCACTTGTTACTACACTTGACTTTTCCCCCAAGCCTCCCCGGGTGCCATTTTTAATGAGGAAGTATACCTGTTTTTTCGTATGAAATTAAACCAACCCCAACCAAACGTAATGAACCTTTCTCTACTTACGCTTTGTGACATGCGCCCAAGTGGGCCCTATTCTCCTTTTTTTTTTTATGCCCAACTGCTTCTGTTTTCCTTTCTTTTCTCTTTCTCTATTCACATTTTTCCATAAATATTTAAGTATATTCAAAGTTATATATTTATTTGCTGCCTTGTTCAATTTATTTTAACTTTTTATTAAATGTTTTTTTGTTTGACACAATATTTACCATTTACCCTCTTCCTCCCCCCCTGGCTTTCATAATTTTTAATTCAATTAAGTTGACAATAACAATGTATGTGTCATTTTGTTTCTTGCTGTGTGGTCATCTGCTTCCTACTTTGTTCCAATATTATATTTGCTTTATTTTTATTTTCCAAAATTTGCCTTAATCCCTGACTATTTAAAACACTCTCCTAGCTATGTGCAAATCTCTGTGTCTACACGGGGGTGAGTGTACGGGTGTAGAGCGGTGCACTTGCCCTGCTGGGTACACAGGTGCACGCTGTGAGTCTGCCGTGTGTTCACCGTCATGTCAGCGTGGAGGTGTGTGTGTTGCCCCTGGCGTCTGCTCCTGCGCCTCAGGCTACGGTGGACCTGTCTGCCAGAGACGTGAGTTCACCCACTAGTGGAGAGAACGAGAGAACGAGAACGAACATAAGAAAGCAACACTGCTGCAGGCCTACTGGCCCATACTAGGCACATCTTTCTCAAACCAATTAACAAAAGTATCAATTAGCCCAACCCATTTATAATGCTTCCCAAGGAATAAGCTTTATAACCCTAAGAATAAGTTTTGATAACCCCTAAGGAATAAACTTTGATGACCGTACAGGAGGGAAGTTTGAAGGATGGTGAGAAAATAAGCGAGAGAGGGGAGTGTAGAGAAGAGTGAATGGGTAAAGTAGAGAATGAGGAGAGAAGTACTGTGAAAAGTGAGAGTCTAAGGGAGAGAAAAAGACGTGAAGAACGTGAGTGGGACAGGACGGGTTAGTAGAGGTATTACCTATATGCAAAATATATTATATTTTTTGAAACTTCCATAGACTTTACCATTTGCAATGGATAAATTGTTTTCACGATCACCTTTTAGATACATTATTGATTTGTGGATATATTCGCAGTGTATAGCTTCATGGTACCACGTTACATTGTCTATTCACATCCCCCTCCTCATCCCCTCCCTGTTCCATTCTACTTTGGGATCGGCTTTCCGGATGGAAGGACAGCCGAGTTTTGACAAGTTGAGCGTGGACGACTCCTGACAAGCGGGTGGGAGTGGTTGCTCATTCCCTGGAAGTTGGAGGTCGATCTTTGAGTAGTGGAGGAGTTGGAAATTGGCTAGTATTATAGATGGGGAATGTGCAACACCCCCTACCAATAGTGACCCTCCAACTACTCATCCACTACCTCACCTCCACTGTCTCAACATCCTTCACGCTACTCATGATACTGCAGTTGACAACTCGTCTAGGAAATGTTTCTTGACAACTTGTAAAATGGAAATTGACAGGACGCTCATACACACACACACACACACCACCACACACACACCACACACACACCACACAACTACACACACACACACTCCTACACACACCTACCTACACACACCTACTACACAAAATACACACCTACCTACACACACACACACACACATCTACCTACACACATCTACCTACACCACCTACCTACACACACCTACCTACACACAACCTACCTACACACACTACACACCTACCTACATACACACACACACCTACCATACACACACACACACACACCTACCTACACACACCTACCTACGCTAACCTACACACACCTACCTACACACACCTACCTACACACACCTACCTACACACACACACACCTACCTACACACACACACACACACCTACCTACACACACACACACCTATACACACACACACCCCCTACCTACACACACACACTACCTACACACACACCTACCTACACACACACACCTACCTACAAAACACACACCTACACACCACCTACCTACACACACACACACCTACACACACACACCTACACACACACACACACTACACACACACACCTACACACACACACACCTACACACACACACACCTACACACACACACACCTACACACACCACACACCACACACACACACACTAACACACACACACACACACCTACACACACACACACACCTACACACACACACACACACACACCTACACACACACACACACCTACACACACACATCTACACGCACACACACACCTACACGCACACACACACCTACACAACACCTACCTACACACACCTACCTACAACACATACACACCTACCTACACACACACACACACATCTACCTACACACATCTACCTACACACACCTACCTACACACACCTACCTACACACACATACACACCTACCTACATACACAAACACACACCTACCTACACACACCTACCTACACACCCACACACACCTACCTACACACACCTACCTACGCACACCTACCTACACACACCTACCTACACACACCTACCTACACACACCTACCTAACACACCTACCTACACACAACACACACACACCTACCTACACACACACACCACCTACTACACACACACACACACACACACCTACCTACACACACACTACCTACACACACACCCCTCCCTACACACACACACCTACCTACACACACACACCACCACACACCTACACACACACCTACCTACACACACACACACCTACACACACACACCTACACACACACACACCTACACACACACACCTACACACACACACACCTACACACACACACACCTACACAAACACCTACACACACACACACACACCTAAAACACACACACACCTACACACACACACACACACACCTACACACACACACACACCTACACACACACATCTACACGCACACACACACCTACACGCACACACACACCTACCCACACACACACACACCTACACACACACACACACGCCTACACACACACCTACACACACACACACACACACACACCTACACGCACACACACACCTACACACACACCTACACACACACACACACACCTACACGCACACACACATGCCGAACACTTTTCCTGAGGGGCATATCGACCAAATAACTGCAGCAGCATATGGGCGCCTGGCAAACCTAAGAATAGAGTTTCGATATCAAGGTGAGGAGTCATTCAAGACACTGTACATTGTGTATGTGAGACCCATATTACAGTATGAAGCACCATTGTGGTACCCACACTTGGTCAAGCACTGCAGATCAGGAGTGACAGGGGAAACATGAGAACGACATACAAAATACTGAGAGGAATTGACAAGGTGGATTGGGACAGAATGCTTCAGAGATGGGACACAGCAACAAGGGGTGACCAGTGGAAGATGAATATTCAGAAGAATCATTGGGATGTCAGGAAGTATTTCTTCAACCATATAGTTGTCAGGAAGTGGAGCATTCTGAAGTGATGTAGTGGAGCAGGATCCATATATAACTTTAGAAAGAGGTACGATCAAGTTCTTGGAGCAGGGAGAGAATGAATCTCGTAGCGACTAGAGAAGAGGCAGGGCCAAGGGCTGTGAATCGACCCCTGCAACCACAAATAGGCGAGTACACACGCACATTCTAGGATAGGTATAACAGGACACTCATAACTAGCCAAAGTCAAACTAACGGGGCAGCGAGCCGAAACTTAACCCCTGTAACCACAATTAGGGGAGTTCAATTGAGTACACTCACATATTGCTATACTTAACTATCTGGACCCCATAGTACAGACTAGTACATAACACTCAACCCGCACATAGGAGAGAGGAGCTTACGACGACGTTTCGGTCCGTCTGGAACCATTTACAGACTAGAAGGATTAGCCGTTTCATGTCTACTTCAGGCATTGTCACTTATTGTACTTGGGGAAAATTCAGAAACAGTTGAATAGAAATCAAAGATCAAGAAGATCAAATAGAATGGGAGGTAAAGATGATCACTTAGTCACGGTATCTGTGGACAAAGAGGATGATATATCTGACTCACGAAATTGTAATGACGCGATTGCAAGCAAGCCATTCCACGGGTGGGGTTGTAACCCGCGATCAGTCACAAAACTCCAGACCGACGCTTTAGGATATAATTTGGACCGATGCACATGAATGAAGAGTGGCGAATCAAAAAAGCTGAAGATAGAACTAAAAGGATGAAAAGATGGAAGACAGATAGAACCAAACACAACAGGTAAGAAGACAGAAGGAAGGGCAAAAATAATCTTTGTGGAAATGTTCTCAGGCAACTGGTGGATGACAGAAGTGATGTGGCTGCAGTAAAGGAACAATTATAAAAAAAATCTCTGTAGGGAAAGGAAGTGGAAGAGGAGAGGCCACTGACTATCCACGGCCTTTAGGAGACTGAAGCGAGGTTGTGATGAGATATCAACAACAGATGAAAGGGAGATTTGAAATATTATTGAATAGAAAATTGGTAAAGCCGATGTGTGCTAGGTTGCAGATTTTCAGATAACTGAATGGTATTGAAGAGACAAAATGCGACCAGCTAAACTGGCCCTTGCAACAGAAATAACACGAGATTGTCTTAAAACAGAAACCACTGTTGAGGGGGACTGAAAGACATGATAAAGTGTAGCTCAGTTGAGACAGAACACAGTACAGGAGAATGAACAACTGAGGGAGAGAAGAAACCATCAAAAACAGGAAGGAGAAACAGTGAATGCAATGACATTTGCAGAAGTGCCATATCCAGGGGGGACACCAAACTCAGCCTCACCAGCCAACATGTGGAAACTGTCTTACAGTGTACACCAAGCTCAGACCAAGACAATTCCTCAATCGCTAGCCCCTTCACACTTAAAAACAATTACTCAAAGCAAAATATACCCTACCAATCTTCCCCACCTATTTCCTATCCTTTACCTGCGACTAAACTTTTCTCACAACTACTTTTCCAACATCCTTCTCCCACTTTCTTCCCCACTACCCCGAGAAACAACCTTCACCTTCATTCCACTTCTTCACCTTCACCCCCACGTACTTATCTGACACACAGGCAAGATCGAGAAGAACAGGAACTCGAGAACCAGATCAGTCACAGAAAGGGAATTGAAAGTGTGGAATACAAATGAAGATGTAATAATAACCAAGAATGATGAAAGGAAAGGGTTGATAGTGAAGGCATTCCCAGACATGGTAGTAATAAGAGTCCAAGCTCGCTGAGATAATAGATACGATCCTCCCAGAAGGTTATCAGATAATGTGAAAGGACAAAGACGAAGTGGAGAAGTAAAGTTGCTAATCATGAGCTAGTGAATTTTTGAGATGAGTGGAAAGGTATCAAATGATTACAAAGTTGCATTCAGAACTAGGGGACCCAACCCACCACCATACATCAAGAAAACAGTACAGGAATATGACGACGACAGGATAGTGGAGGTGGCTAGTAATGCCCACATGTGCAGTGCACACTAGTTTATCAAGCGAGTCCTAACCACAAGGAAATACTGAGAGAATCTGAAACAACGTATGAACCGGAAGCGTGAAGCACTAAGTTGTTTGAGGGGGGTAATGGA